CGTCCGGCAGCAGTGGCGTGGTCGGCATTCATGGTGCTGCCAATCCCTGATCGTGTTGTTGTCTGTCTTGGTGTCTTGATGTTTAAGATTGCTCTTTAGAGCCATGCAGGTGCAGCATTCTACCGTGGTGGTAGAGAGTAAGCTTCTTGCTTGCTCTAGTTTAGCAGTATTGTGTTATGGCTTATGTGTGTGTTGTTTTCAAGTGATCTGTGTCCCGTGTCTTTGTAAAAGACTTGTTCTTGGCTGTTATTTAACCTTGTGTACTTCTTAGATGTTGTATTGCTGTCGTGGGTTCGAAGTCCCTTTGCTGTATCTTTGATTTGGAGAGTGAGGGTTTGAACCCATGAGCTGGATCACCACAACCTTGTCCTGTGTTCCGTGTCTCGTCTCTTTTAAGTATTTCCATCATTCTTCTCAGTGTGCTTTCAGTTTATTATGTTGTTGATGAAATGCATTTCCATATCTTTGTTCTTGTTTATTTTCTGTGACCATTCATAGGTTGGTTCAACTTGCGGCATCATCTTTAGTTATGGAACACTGGGTAGCATTGATATTGTGCACATTGGTTAAGCACCTGGAAGACTACAGCCAGCCAGTTATAATTGATAATTGTTATGCTCAGTGATAGGTCCCAGCTTGTTGTATTCGAACTTTTTTGCATCAAGTTTATGGCCTTTTCCCCTCCTTTTCCTTATGAATGGCTGGTTCTCTTATCTACTACAAATGCCGAGAGGTTGTAATGGGAACCGTTGAAGATCTTCTAAGTAAACTAACCACTACTTGTACTTACATCATTTTCTTTGTTGAGATGCTAGTCTTCCTGTTTGATATATGCACTGATTATATCACTCATGTTCATGTAGCTAGAAGTCTAAAAGTACCTCTGTAATTGCTAATGGCCCTTGATGCTAATTTCTTTGAATGTGAATATGATGTCTCATTTGGGCCTCAACGAAGTATAAGAAGGGCAAGCCAGCTTTTAGCATTTAAGCCGATTAGTTTTCATTACTAGTTCTGTTCAAGAAAAATGCTCCCGATATTAGTTTAACTACTGGTATTTGATCTTAGGGTTAAAATATCTACTACTACTAAATATTTCTTGAGATAACAATTCAGTTGCCATTTATTAGCATAAATTTAAGAGTCCAAATAGAGGGGCATCTGTTTCTTGTGCCCAAAACAAAGCCAAAAGTACGGCGATGAATGTCATTGTCAGATTAGGAGTAGTTCTTGAAGAATCCCGCGTGTATGAAGACTGGAGATAGTCAAGACTGGAGCTCAAAGCTGAAGAAATAGGTTGTTCTATATGTTTGTTTTTCTTCTATTCTTGTCAAAGCAACGACCTAAGCATAGCGTTTATCGAGTTACTAGAGACCAGTCCACAACTGCCGCTAGCTTGTCGCTAGTTCAGTGAATTCACCAGAGTCGGGGTCATTGTTAAGCTCAAGACCAGTACAACCTTTGTTTATGACCCTGCAGCTGAGCCGTATCTTAACCATGGACTTAACAAACTTGCTCTTCCATCTCTTATCGCTTTTGACAAACTCGTCAACTGATGCTCCCAGATTTGAGTTTGTGAGCAATGCCTGGTCTGACGTGAACAGGCCTAGGTTGTTTGTCAGACCCACATAATACTTGTTGTCAAGCATCGTCGGGGTAAGATCAACCTGGCAGTAAAACAATCATTATAGACGCGGCAAGGAAAATGTCCATAAGGCCCGAAAGGAAAATGTCCGAGATCTAGCGGTAGTTCTGAACACCATCATACCTGACTGGTGTTGCTGAAGCCATGTAGCATCTTTGTAAAGGACGAGCAATGCGAGACGCCTATGGTGTGCGCACGAGAGAGGATGACCATGTCCTGAGCTGTGAGGTCCGACCAGCTCAGAAGCTGTTGAGAGTGGTGACTAGTGAGGGTAGGTTGTTGAGGGCGTTCTGGTCAGTGGATATCCTGCCGTCGCGGCGCCCAGCAGGCACCTTTGTAAGTAACATTTCCTGGTAGCGCGATGCTGTCATGGGCAGTGAAGGCAAGGATGCCCGTGCATGAGACTGTCTTGGGGCATTGGGCCTTGATGGCCTTCTTTTCAGCGTCAATTACCTCGAATCCACGGAGGCTGGGCTTGTTGGGGATAACGTCTTTCTCAGCAGTTCTGTTTGCCGTTGAGTCAATCAGGACTGAGCCGTCACAACCGTTTTGGCATATTGTAGTTGTGTTATATAGCAGTAGATCACCTCACAAATATTTGTTTGAGTATGAACTGTGGGCATTAGACTTGATGATAGACATATATGCTGGTTGCTCTTTTGCATTTTGTGTACATGCATGTTTCTTGTTGGTATATACTCCCTCCGTCCCAAAATAAGTGTCTCAACTTTGTACTATCTTCAGTACAAAGTTGTATTAAGGTTAAGACACTTATTTTTGGGACGGAGGAAGTATTTGTCTTTGTAGAGATTTCAACAAGTGACTACATACGGAGCAAAATGAGTGAATCTACACTCTAAAATATGTCTACACACATCCGTATGTGGTAGTCCATTTGAAATCTCTAAAAAGACAAATATTTAGGAACGGAGGGAGTACAAAAGAAAAGCAGTGT